AGTCCACATGTAGGCTACTTCAGAGTGATGTTGCAGATCTTGTTGAAATCCACTTTACACAAGTTTTCTGTTGCCACTGATCGCAATCATCACAGGAAAAAACTCACTGTTCTGCTGTGGTTTTTGGTTTTACTCACACTTTCTCATTTCAATATGGGTGACCGGGTTAGGTTAAAACTGTCAGTCTGACACAAAGTATAGACTGAGCGCATGCACGAGCGTCCAGAGAGTGGTGGATGTCTCCTTACATCACCATGGCAGCTCCAGTGGCCCTTACAGTGCGCTGTGGGTGTATGGCAGCAACAACGGGGAAAAGCCTTAAACTTACCGCAGTCCTCGCAGAGCACTCTCTCCACATTCTTCTTCAGCTCTGGCTCGCTGGCGTCCACAGGGGCGTAGGATGCTTTGAACACCATGGGCTCGGCTGTCGGGTCCATGAAAAAGATATATCTGTGGTCCTTCTCCACCGTGGTGCAGGGGGCCTCTGAACCGAAGTCCCCGACGGTCACGAGCTGCTCCCTCTCGAGGCCGCCGCTGTTGACGGGCCACACATCCAGCACTTTGACATTCACACTGTAGGGCTCCCGGGATGAGACGTTCTCCGGGGAGGAGCGCACCTCGCCCTCGATGACCACGGCTGATCTGTACGCCTGGTCCTGGAGGGAGTTGAGACTCGGGGCGTAGCAGGCGAAGGAGACCCCGATGACCAGCATGGAGAAATGCACTGGATCAAGCCTCATGCCGTCAGCCTGTGCTGTGCTGCAGTGCTGCTGGGCGGCGGAGCGAGCTGGAAGAGAGAGACGGTGGCGATCGGGCTCCGGCAGAGCAGGCAGGGCAGAGCGGCAGACGTTGTGGAAGTGTCCATGCCATCTGTGTCTGCCGCTGCTTTCCCCATACGGCTGCTGGCGTCGGATGGGGGGGGGAGACACACCAGCCTAGGAACCGGAAACGGCCCGCTTCTGCATGCTTAAAAATGTGATTGCTGCATTCTCCTTCACCAACCGCCCTCCCCCTCTTATCTCCCCTTTTTCCTGAAAGGCAAAACAAGACTCGTAAATTAGCCTCCTCTCGAATCCTGGGCTGAAACCTCTCTCTCTCTCTCTCGCTTTCTCTCTCTCGTCAGCTAATGGGCTAGCATCGCCTGGGTGGGCGCATTGCCTCTCTGGAAGAAAAAAGCGGCTTGCGCGTATACAGCGGGAATCAGAAGAAATGATACGCACTCCACGCACACGCACCAAAAATCGGGTCCTTTTTCCCCCCTTAGGCAAGAGTGTCACTCTTGCAAATCCTCTGTTCTGCAAGCAAACCAAAACAGTAAAAAAGGAGAACCCCCCCCCAAAAAAACCCGAGTAGGGACAAACAGACGGGAGGAGAGAGCAGCGGTTATCCGGTGAGGCGTTGCAACAGTAGCGCGCACCCTCCAGCCGCGTCCCCTGCGCCCCTCAACAAACGCGAGCGGCTTACGTGAGCAAACATCACCTGCCCGGTCACTGGCGTCGGCTCGCCACGTCCTGCGCAAACACCCTAATGACCCGGGCACCGACCGGCCCACCGCCACGGACCCAACGGCATGTGATCATTGCCGGTCGCCTGCGTAAAAAAAACCCCACTGCAGGTGGGTGGAGGAGAAATCACGCACGCAGCGCACAGAACACACGGCACAGAGCGCGTCTGCGGCCAAGCCCTGCGCGGCGTTCTCAGTGGATCTCCGGTGCAAAGAGGTGCAAGATAGGCTACAGGCGGGCTACAACACACACTGCGGATAGTTGTTGCGATGACTAACGCTGCGAAATTCTCTCAATGGAGGCTTTAGCGTATAGCGATGCGAGCCGGGAGATTCGAGACTCCGGCTCTAAACACTTTCGAACAAATATTGCTGTTTTTTTTACAGCTGAGCCCACCCAAAGCTTGCTGTTATCCACTCTTACACGCGACTCACTGCAGCTCGCTCCTATCGCCTGGGGATGCTGCGCTCCTTCAAGTCTACAGCAACACGTGGTACCAACAGCGGCTACAAACTGCGGTGTTTGAAATCCAGCTCAACCACGGAAATTGAAATCAACCTGTTAATTATTTTATATGTTATATTATTCTGTTTTAATAAAAGAAACGCTACCTATCAGATTTATGTTATGTTTAAGGTGACCACAAGTAACATCTAACCTCAGTACCAGCCATTCACCGTCATCCCAGCACCAACCAAACCATTCATAAGATATTCCCCACCCCTAACATGCACGCTCTTGTTTGACAGAAATCTTGTGAGAGTCCATTTTGAGAACTGATTTTGTTTTTTGCCCTGCGATGGACTGGGGGGCTGTCCAGGGTGAACCCTGCCTCTCGCCCATTGAATATTGGAATAGGCTCCAGTCCCCTGCGACCCCATTTGGCAATAAGCGGTACAGAAAATGGATGGATGGATATTGTTTTGGGGGTTTTTAAGCGTGGGGATGAAAATTTCATTCCATCATGACCCCATCAGAGAGGTTGCGTCAGAGACCAGACTCTGTCCATGGTGCTGACCCACTGTGAACTTAAAGCCCAGTCTTACTAAGAAGTTTTACATGTATACATGTCAGCAGTAAGATAATTGGGGGGGGGGGGGGGTCTTATTACTGGCTTAATCAAAATCAGACTTTTTAAATTATTTAGAAAGATTCCAAAATTAAACTAACACACTCTGATAGTTGGGTTTGAGCTTGATTTGTTCCTGTCAATACACCTACTTAAATGGGCCTTGGTGCTCATGCGCTAAAGTAACATCTTTTTGTAAAAGAAAAAACAACAAGAAAAGGAAGTATAAGTCAGTAATCATAAAGTAAAATAGTTCTCCTAATTTACATTATTTTCTTTTTCTTTATTGTCAGGGAGCTAATTGCATCAGAATGTGCGATTGGAAATCAGTTATTTAAAACTCCAAATCAACTCACAGTCACATTTTCACTCAGCTCAAATAAAATTCAAGTATCCGTAACTGCAGCTTCATCAGACAAAATCCCAATTAAGTTAAAGACAGGACATTTGTGATGACTCGGCTGTGCTTATGTGTCAAGATAAAGGAGAAAATCTGAATTTCTTGTATGATGCTCTCTGACATGCTCCAGTATAGAGCCCCATTCCACTCCTTTGTTCATGAAAAGTTACTGGGATTGCATTTTGTAAAAAGGCAAACACAAGCCATAAAGATAAGTGGACTTTAAAAATATCTGTTAAAGATGGGAGGAAACCCCTTTCTTTAAGCAAGGAAATGCATTCTGAGGACCCAAAAAGTTTTCATATTTACTTTGTCAAATATTTATTCTTCTATATTACTTGAATTTCCCTCTTAGCACAGATGTATTTGCATCTCTTTATAATGTAGCCTATGGCCTATTAACTACCTCTAAAGCTTTGTCCAACTTGCTCCCAGATTAACCACATGTAGTTTGTCGGGTGTAACATGTAGTTTATTAACAACGTTTTACAATAAACCCAGTCATATTGAATATGACTGTATGCGCGAATGATCCAAGACCACAGGCTGCAAGCAGTCAGTGTTAAGGATGATATTGGGAAAAGAAGAGTCATGAGCAAAAGCATATTCTCAATATATACCAAGATTTTAGTCAATTGAAAGGCCAACTGAAATTTTCTCATCACCAAAAGCATCACAAACAGCATCCTCTCTGATATTCTTTTGTGTTGGGAGTGACATTTCTAGGGGAACAGTGCATCTGTTAACAGGAGTCAATTATTTCTCCCTTTTCATTTATCATTGAATTAATATCAGGGATTATCGGGAAATTCTTAAAATTGTGTGTGAAATATTTGGATTGGTACTAAGTGCAAATGTGGTAGCAAAAATATAGATGAGACAGTCTTGCAGGTGTTAAGAGGGGGGATTTACAGTACAAACTCTGGTAGGAGTGTGCACTTAGTCATTGCAAGATATTTCTTAATTCATAATCAGCCCAGCTTGCCAAAAGATAAGATGCATATTCCTTTTGAAGGTAGAGCAGCAAATAACTACAGACAACATGAAGTTCTCAAATTACAATTGTAATTAACTTTAGCAATTATCAAACGTTTTAGGTAATAAAATAGCAAGGATGAAAAATTAGAAATAAAAATAGAAAACACCCATGGTCAGATGTTTAAGTATCTTCTTCCTTTTAATGAAAGCCATAGTAATATTTCATAAGCAAACTGCATTCAAAGACATAAACAATGTCATCATATCATACTGCCATCATACTGAATTCTGATTAGCCCTTAAGAAACCACTCCTACTTGTGAAAATCTGATCACTGGCTAATCATTCATGTTGCCTCACTCTTTATTAGCTCTAGTCTGCAGACTCCCACTCATCCATCGCTGCTGCTCATTCAGAAATGTCCTTTACACCTCCATACCCCACCTCGCCCCTCTGTCCGGGAACTTCGTGGGGTCGCTTTCCGTGGTGCTGAAACCCCCCAAACAGCCACCTGTGGGGCGAATCAACCAAATAAACCAGATTATACCTCTTCCGTGCCCTGTTTTTTAATTGAAGTTTTGCGAGAAAAGAAAAGGAATTTATTCATGTCTGGTCATGTTAAACCCATCTTTCATTCTATCTGTTTATTTCGGGGTCCTGTGACTGCAGTGTTTCTCACTCGCTCAGGTGGAGGTTAGCTTTGTAGCTATAATCCGGCATATTTACATTTGTTTTTATACTGATGTTCATTAATGTGTTTTGTCCCTATTCAAATAAATAAATAAATTAATTAATTAATAAATAAAATAACTGTACAAAGCGCTACTGGGAGATTCCACGACAACTCCGTGAAACGTTGCAAAATCAGCGTGACTCTCTTGAACGTCGCCCGCCTGGCGAACTACAGTTGCACAAACTACAGTTACTTTCTTTTTTTTTTCCACCTTCTTCTCTCGTCTCGCGATAGAGCGGCGGAGTGGTTTGACGGGCAGTCGAGGTTGCAGCAGGCAGAGGGAGACGGTGGAAGGTAAAGCAGGGAGGCAGCATCATGGCGGACAGAGACAGTGGCAGTGACCACGGAGGGCCCACCGCAGGCCCCGGCTCGCTGCCCCAGGGTGCGATGGGTGCCATGTCCCGGCTTCAGCACGACACCGAGGAGCTCGCCTCCAAGCGCATCGACATCCAGAACAAGCGCTTCTACCTTGACGTGAAGCAGAATGTTAAAGGCCGCTTCCTAAAGATAGCCGAGGTCGGGGCTGGGGGAAACAAGAGCCGCCTCACTCTCTCCATGTCTGTCGCCGTGGAGTTCCGCGATTATCTCGGGGACTTTATCGAACACTACGCCCAGCTGGGCCCAACCAACCCGGACATAGTGCAGGATGAGCCTCGGCGGGCGCTGAAGAGCGAATTCCTGGTGCGGGAGAATCGGAAATATTACATGGATCTGAAAGAGAACCAGAGGGGGCGGTTCCTGAGGATCCGGCAGACCGTTAATCGGGGGCCCGGATTGGGAAGCGCGCAAGGCCAGACGATCGCTCTGCCGGCGCAGGGTCTCATCGAGTTCCGCGACGCTCTGGCCAAACTCATCGACGACTACGGCGTGGACGAGGAGCCCGCGGAGCTCCCGGAGGGCACCTCGCTCACGGTCGACAACAAGCGCTTCTTCTTCGACGTGGGCTCCAACAAGTACGGAGTCTTCATGCGGGTGAGCGAGGTGAAGCCCACGTATCGGAACTCCATTACCGTGCCCTGCAAAGTCTGGTCCAAATTCGGCAACACCTTCTGTAAATACGCGGAGGAGATGAGGAAGATCCAGGAGAGGAGTAGAGAGAAGCGGGCCTCCGAACTGCTACCTGAGGGCCCGCATGGCGGAGATGACGGCGACGATGACTGACGCGGATTCCAGGAGGGCTGAGACGAAACAACCGAGACGAAACTCAACAATGAGAGAGAAAAAGGAGACTTCAAATTGTAACATAGAGAGAGAGAATTTCCAAGGGAATCACCCAACACACACAACCTCCACAGACATGGCAGCCCCTCTGCTGTCTCCTCGATCATTTAACTGGATGTCACCCCACTTACCACCCATGTAACAGTAAGCCGCTGCTATCAAGGATTGAACTGTAAGATATGAACTGTTTCCTACTTGATTTAAATGACAATGAACAGAGTGTTTATATCTCTATCGATGACAGATTTTGCACACATCAAAGCTATTTCAAAAGATAACGTCTAAATGTTTTCAAACTGGTTATATGCTAAGATTTAATCAAAGTTGAACCACATCTCTATTATAGTAAATGACAGTCTTTACCTTGAATGAAGAATATTGACATCAGCACAAAGAGAAAATAACTTGATGATGGACTTTATGAAACCAAAATCTCATACTGGATGTATAGTTTACTTTAAAAGGTACGCAGAATAAACACAAAAGCACTCTTAAAGTGTCTGGATCTGCAGACGCAGCCCTGCAGGCCTATGAACACCTGTCAGCATGTGTGTGGGCTCCCGTTCTGAGAGCAAGTTGGCAAATGGACTATATTCTTTGGTATGACCTCCAAAACGGTCAGTTAGTGACAGCATTTCATGCCACTCTGGAAAGGTTGGGACAAAAAAAAGAGCCAACTTTGCGCACCTCAAAGAAATGGGATAAATCTATGTCTGAGCTACTCTATTCAATATCAACCTTCTTGCACCATGTCCATGTAAACTTAAATGAAAAAAAAAAGTGCTAACTTAGATGTACTAATTATGATTTTGTGAATCAGCTATAAAAAAGAAAAAACTCGTTATTAAGATGCCCACGTTTTCTGTGGGTTAAGTTTTTTTTTTTTAAAGTTTTTTCTGTTTCTTAATTAGTTTTTTCTTTTTTCCTCTTGGGGTGGGGGGGATGCTAAAGCATGAAAGGGTCCACTTGTGGGGGCGCGAGGCGCAGAAACAGACAGAGAAAATAAAAGAAGCGTCGGCGCATCGGCGGCGAGGCTACGCATCCTCTCTGACGTCATTTACGACCCGTGCCTTATATACTCCACTCGTTTACGTGTTCTCACGTGGATGGTCTGTGACCTCGACCGCTGTACGTCTTCATTTACGAGTGCTGTTATGTAGGCAGAGATATCTACTCGCCAGGGCTTGTGGCTTCCACTCCCCTGCAGTGCATGGAGCATGTGTGGCAACACCCACATAAAAAAAAAGGGAGCTGAAAGGCCGCTGGGGGACGTGAGGGGGAAGGGGGGGGGGTGTGGGGTGGGGCTCTGTAGTTAAGGGAGTGGGGGGCTCACCGTGTTACCACACCCTGGAGCTCAGAATCTCTAACAGCACCTCTGACTTGTGGGGCCCTCTGGCACCAGATGCGTTTCCAGGGAACCAGAGGAACGACCCAGGATGCGCTGCTTTCTGGCAGCACTGACTAGGACCTGGAAATTAAAACTGGATATGTTAGCGGTGGCTTCGCACACCATATGCACCGTTATATTTGGAGGAGGGGAAAAAAAGCGAATCGGGAGTGGCTGGATGCGATCGTTGGTCGGAGCTGAGATGGATGCTTTTAAAAAGCAGCCAGGCGGGTCAGCCGGTCCCATGCAGGCAGTGTGAGTGCAGTCCAGTGGATGTAGAGGCCTATTGGTGCAGCGCCCAAGCAGGATCTATCTTTTATGGTGCTACAGCCCCTAAATTGTTCCTTGGGGGCCTCGCCGCTCGAAATATGTCACTTTTGCATTACTGTTATTCTGATGCTCTTTTTTTTTTTTTTTTGTTCTCCAGAGTTCGTCTCTCCACATTATATTGTCAAAGGCGTGTCAGGTTTCTCCCTCCCGACAAGAGATGAAGCCACTGACTGGTGTAGGAAATTTTATATTCGTGTGCAATATTGTGTACGTGCCAATCGTGGCATTGTATTGCGTGTGCAGACTATTAATTGAGGAGAAGAAAAACAAATGTACAGGCTCTGTGATCAGTAGATGTCTGTGAGCATGAGGATGATGCATCTGCATTATATTTCCCAAATGTGAAGACTGGTCCAACGAAGAAACGGTCGAACTAGAAGTGAGGTATTTTTCCTGTCACATTCTGTAAACCAGTGTGCTGCTTTGTCTGTTTTTCAGTGCACATAGACTAGTTTGGGTGGTTTTATGTTTTACCCTATGGGGTCGCCCCAGAGAAATCCCTTCCCTACTTAGATCCTCTCTAAATACAAAATGCAGACTCTCAACAGCTTCTGGCGTCCTCCACGTCAGCCCCTCTGCAGTGGTCTACTCGCAAGTTCAAAAGTGTCTTGGGGCTTTGGTCCAGGGGTGGCTGACACACATACAGCCACCCCCGTTGAGGCCTCTTGTTGCTATCTGAGTGCTTGGGAGGCCTCTAAAGTATTCTGAATGGTGTAGAACGGCACAAGGCCCCTTGTCATGAGAAGCCAGGGAACTGTGTGTTTCGACCCTTTCTCGCCTGGGTCTGATGATGTCAGGACAGGTCAGGCGCCATTTGACTAAATCTTCTGTTTGTTTTGTTGTTGTTGTTTTCCTTTTTTGCTTTTACTTGAGCTAAGCAATAGCAACCGGCCACAGAAAACCCAAAGAACTGTTGTTTCTTTGTTTTTGTTTTTTTTGTTTTTTTCTTCTTTTAACAGTGAGGATCACGGTCTCTCTGTCTGATGCGGGCTGACTCTGATCGGATGTGCTTCTCATTTGCAGCCCAGACATCAGAGCATAAAAAGGCCCCGGATATGTGTGCATGTGTGTCTTTCAGTGCAGCACAAGTTGCTCCAGTGTTCAAATTTAGGACCTTTCTTTCATTATCATATGACTGCTATGAAATTATTCCTAACAATCAAGTGCGCTCCAGGTCTTGAGTTCATGAACCTGAACGCTTTGGGATAATGCTATCTATGTCCATAGCAGAATAGTGGGGGCCACAGGAGGCAGAACCTGGGTCAAGCAGACATGGCAGAGCGCAAGGAAACACTAGGAATGCAGGGATCAATGGTGATCGCTGCTTACTGAATGGCATTTGTGTTTAATTGGTTAGGCTTGTGGCAACACTGCCAAGACAATGTTCCAGAGATTCCTATCTGCTCCATGCAGGACTTTTTGGCTGTTATTTGTCTCAGAAAGATGGTGAAAGGCCCAACGAAGCCTGGCACTGCACTGTCGGGGAGCAGCCTGAGACAACAGGACAGCTGCTAAGCAGATCCAGTCAGGAGTTTTCTCTGTTTTTAGAGATGATATGATTATTATATTCCCTCACACTGCCCTGTGAATGAAAATAAAAAAGCCCCATATCCACTGAACACACCTGTGACTATGTGCCCAGCAAAGCACATCTGAGGTCAGTGAGTGCATCCTGAGTTCAATACGAGTACAAAGTCTTTCCTGCGATGCAGCACTTGTTTCCCCAAAGTGCTTTGGCTTGATTTGAATTGTAGACCTCCACGAGGCCCCTGTGCTCTACATCCTCAAACCACATCCCTTCTTTTTTTCCTTTTTTTTTGTATTTTCCCCTTCAATAGCCAAATATAAGGACAGTCTGAACTGCTCATGGTTCATTCTGAGAAATTCACTTTAAAAAGAAAAAAAAAAGAAAAAAAAGACTAAAATATGTTGTTTATTACAGCCTGTAGTTGTCGGTGCTCCTGGTTCAGTCTTGTTTTTAGTGCAGAATAATCATGTTGTGAAACGCAAGTCGTCCTTCTATGATCGTAGCTTTGAGGTTACAGAGGATCTGCGGTGGGGGGGGGGGGGGGGGGG